CAAAGTGCATTACCTAATCAGCAGCTTCGTAAATAGGGAAATCCATTGCTGCAGAAGGGCTTTTATAAGGCAATTTTCAGTCATAAGTTTTCCTTTTGCTATGTTTTTTATTTGTTTCTTACTTCTGCTTTCTCAGTTTTTATTTGTTTTTGCTTTCTTCAGCTTTTATTCATAGGCTTCGATTCTTTGACTTCACTTTTTCGCCACTAAAAGGTTAATTACTAAAAGTCGGCTCGGCTAGGCCGGTACTCTAGCATCTCTGTTAAAACTATTTCGCGGCAAGGCTCGCTGATTCAGTTTGGCACTTTGCTAGGAGTGATGAATAGCGCTATCCTGTGCACAAAAAATGGGTAGGGGGTTGGCGTGGTTGGAAGAGATGGTGGTGGGTGAGTACGCAGATGTAGCTCCGGGCGTACAGATTAGGGCAAGGTAGAGGAGAAGAGCATGGGGCTAGTGAGGAGTATGAAACGATCAGTGGTGATAGTGGCTGTGGGGTAGTGGCCGATGGGTGTCCAGATGCCGCTATGCAGGCAGGATTTGGGAACTGAATAGACGAAGCTGATGCTTAGGTAAAGCTGAGAACTCTCAGCCTCACCTAAGCATCAGCTATTCGATATTTCAACTTTACGTAAGCATTAGCTTCATAAGTGGGGAAGTCTTTTGCTGACAGCGGGTTTTTTATGCGTTTTTGCGCATAATGCAAATTGCAGAAACGCATATTGGGAAGAGGCTCTGCGTGTATATGTCTGTGTATTCGCACCTTTTCGAAACCCACTTTGGATTCGAGAACCAGAACAGCTAGAAGACTGAAACTTTGGGATTATGTGCCCATTCCATGCGCGATCCTCCCGTTTTAATATCATTCCCCGCGTACGCCTGAGTGCCGCGTACGGACGCCTTAAAAATATATGCAAATTTTTTGGTGGGAAATCAATCTCGGGAACCAGACAAGACAGGACGCTGAAACTTTATAGGTGCATTCCTTGTACATGTGTGAGCTAAAGATTTCAAATTCAGCCTCCAAACACGCGTGGTACTTACTTAAGGGCATGTGAAAGTTTTGGCGGGAAAATCACTAACTCAGGAACTAGAAAGGTTGGCTAAAATTTTAGGGGAATGTTCCCTGCCCAAGTATAACTCTAATGTTTCAAATTTAGCCTTAAAGTATGGGTTGTTCTCACGTACGGACACCCAAAAGTTTTAGCATGGAAATTTCTCACTGAAAAGCTAGATTACTTTCAAAATGGAATTGTACATTTACTTTATGCAAGATTTATGGTGTACGTCAGAGAGTGCAAAAGGTAGGTGTAAAGCAACAACCATTCACGCGATAAATGACCTCAAGTTCGGTGCAAAAACGCATTATCGCACTGGCAAGCCTGGTGCGTTCCAGTCTGGCTTGCAATTTACACATATGCAAAAATGCATATTGTGACGGCGCGGTTTGTGTGTGTGTGTGTGTGTGTGTGTGTGTGTGCGTGCGTGTATGTATGTGTGTGCGTGTGTTTGTGAGTGTGTTCGTCTGTCCAGGTATTTCAATTGGGCAACTGAGCAAGGTCCGGCGCCAAAATATTGCAGGCAGTTCCTCGGCCAAGTGCCAGCCCAGGACGGCAGTCCCAACCCTCGCGCATGTCTGGGTCCCGCGTACGAGGGCGTGGAAGTTTCGGCGGGAAAGCTGCTACCTCGAGAACCAAAAAAAGTATAAAACTGAAATTTTAAGGTTATTTTGCCCGCCCACACAGAACTCCAAAATTTCGAATTCAGCCCTAGGTGCGTGTGTTTCTCACGACTCTGTCAAATTTGTGGTGGGAAAATTGCTAATACAGGAACGAAAAGGTTAGAAAGCTAAAATTTTGAGGGGACTTTCCCTGACGAAGTACCATGTAATTGTATGATTATCATCCTGAACTTCGAAAAACAGTATGTCATGAATTCCAGCTACTGGGACTCCAAGGGGTCTTACAACAGCACGAAATGCTGCAAAAGCGCATAGTCGTATGAACCTGCCCGGTGTGCTTTGCCGATGATTTCTACCCGTCACCCTCCCCCGTCACCCCCAAATGCACACAACTTAGCTAACCGACAAAGCATCTACGCCACGTAGCCCTTAAATCCTATTCTAGTCCTCTCCCTTGCTCGAACAGAGCCTGCAGTACACCTCCTTCCTCCCCCCACCCCTCCCCATCTCTTCACTTGTAACATTTAAACTGCCACCATTCACCATGGGGCAGCCTAACCCGCCCTTGCCGGGAGAAAATTTTCGCAAGTCGTGTATGCGCCGGTTAAGCCGAGTTATAATAATTGCCAGTAACTGCCGTAGGAGCACTGCTGATATCTATTTGATTTGCAGTTTCGACTGGTAACAGCTGTACTTTTATGAAGATATCCGTTCTTCAAACGTAAACTCCTGTGCGTAAAACTGGCATTGTGGCTCATGTCTCGTGCTTGGATGCATCAAATATTACTTGCTGTAGGCAGTCTTTTTTCCTCAACATTTGCTGGGCTGTTGGATTTTTACGTGGTAGTTAACTGCCCCATCTTAGGTCGTAGTGTATAAAATTAATCCTTTTGCATGCCAACTCCTAGCAGGTACACAGAATTGATTTCAGCTATCAGCTGAGCTAGCAGGGCAAATTTCATTTCAAGCTCCTGCACTTCACATCACTAATACATACGTGTTATGTTTCCCATGATTGTGCAAATTTGCATTATAGCATAATACTAGCGATATTAGCTTTCTCTGCAGCAAAAGCGGTGCTTAAAAAAAGTGATTGATGTTCCTCGTGGGGTCTTTTTCGTTTGTTTGTCGGGTCACTGAAGCCGACATCGGCAGTTGACATACCACACAGCCACACAAATAACTTTAAAAACTTCGAAGATCAGTATACCAGAAATTCTAGCTACTGGGATTCAAAGCGGTTATGCTACAGCACGAAATAGTCCAAAAACACATGATCGTACCAGCCAGCCTGGTACGCGTCACTAATGTTTGCTCAGTTGAAATATCCGAACGGGCGCATATACTCACAATGCGCAGCACAAACATACATGATACGCATTTTTATATTCGCATAAATACGCAAAAACGCATAAAAACGGGCGACTTCCGCCCCCAACATGTCCACATTCGATTGAACAACTGATACCAAACCGTGGAAGATGCTGAGCAAACACAAATTCATATGCAACAATAAGCAAAAAAATGCTATTGATGTTCCCAAAATTTTTTGAATTAAGATCATATTAAACGAAGAGCTGACTACTAAGAGAATTAAATAGTGATGAGATTTTTTTATAGAAAAATGTATAAATGATATCGTTACTTTTTATACGTATTTGCGCCTTGGTGCGAAAACAAAACACATATTGTCAAGAGGTAGTCTTTGTATCTGTATGTGTTTGATCGGGGATGAGTGAACTTTGTTACCCACTTTCAAATTACCAACCAGGGAAGTCGGAAAACTGAAATTTTAAGAGCACATTTCTGCTCAGCGCGTCTCCTGTGCTTAAATTTCACGCATGGAAGCCTGAAAAAAGCATGCAAGTTTCTGGTAGGAAGCGATTTTGGGAAAGAGACATAATAATGAAACCGAGACTGGAACGCACCGGGTTTGCAGGTGCAATCATATGTTTTTGCGCGAAAATTGCAGATAGCTAAAAGCGGGAATGGTCCCTACGCTGTAATTTAACACTTGGACTCACATTGACTTTATTTCGACCTATTCCCGCATGTAGAGGGAAAAGGCATCGACTGGGATGATGGGGTTTCATTATAGAACCATATGGGCTTACAGCGTACATGATTACAGATTTTTTGCATGAAGCCTGGTCGTTCTTCTGGTGGATGCTCGCTCATTGAAAAAAAATGCAAGTCTGGGAAAGTCGGAAGAGGATTATAAAATCTGCAAGCGCACCCGCTTTTGAGTTTGCGATAAAATTGAGTATTTATCGTACCCACCTGCAGGGAGTTTCATCTCCAAACTGAATTAAAACCGCACATGAAAGTAGGATATCCCAGCAAAGTTTCAGCCTCACACCTTATCCGGTAAGCGAAATAGCCACTTTGCTACAAATACCTTTGAAGTGCCCTAAGTCGTGGCACAGTTGCAAATCAAAACTCAGTTTAGGTATGCAACTTTCTATATGAACGATAAATATTCTGACAAAATTTTAGTCACTGTTTTCCAGCTAGTTTTCGAGTTAGCACAGTGCTAATCGCGAAATTTGACGTGATCTTATATGCTGCACAAGAGTGCCCAGTGGCTGAATTCGAAGCCTTTAGCTCTCACCAACACAAAGAATATCCCTGCAAAATTTCAACTTTCTATCTTGTCTGGTTCCCAAAATCGTTTCCCGCTAAAGAAATTTGCATATTTTTCAGACAAGCCCGCACGCGAGATCTAGATGCGTATGAGCGGTGACTTTAAAACGGGAGGATGACACGGTAATCGTGCATGATGGAGATTAAGATTTCAAGAATCCTCGTAGTGCGTGCAAGGAAAGGCTAAACACAGCATAAGCTGATACGTTAAAATGTACAGCAGCAGTCATTCATACTGCTAACGATCTCATTGGCACCAAACTTAGCACAAAAACGCAAGATCCTGTCGGCAAGCTTGCTGCTTGCTGCTACCTGAATTTTTTATATGTTTTCTCTAACTAGCAGTCATCGAACCATGAAAATTCAATATTAACTACATCAGAAAAATACAAGTAATACTTTTAGGAAGGAATGACTTTTTATCCTGTTTTCAGAAAGGACAAAATGGTAATCGTTCCTTCTTTTTTTTAATAGTACTGCTTCCGGAAGACAAGAATAGGTATGGGCATGAGGTTTACCTTAAATATTGGGACTGTGGTAAGCAAAAAAGGCTCCCTCTTATTGTCACAGTGTAGGGCCTTAGTGGTTCGCTCCTTCGGCCCTTGAAGAAGGCCCGAAATACTAATGTTGCTGCCATTTCACACACAAAAAATCAAATTATAATTCAGTCAGTTAACGCTTTCAGAATTTATAGATTACCTGTCCACGGTAAGCTAAACAGACACTGTTCGCTTGCATGAATTTAACGGCTGCAAACGCTACAGCCAAATCGTTTCTCACCTCTTTTGGCAACTGCAACGTCTATAATTAGCATGTTTTTAGATCGTTGTTTTATCATTAGCACTGCATAATTAAAGTGCTCTCGAAAGTTAGTATAATTTCATGCATGAGATGTTCTATACAGAATCAGCCACAATAACGAGCCCTTCCGTTGTTCGACGTCAAATTCTGCACATATTAAGCAAAAAAATGTGCAAGTAGTCGGAAAAAATTTTTCAAAATCCGATTAAAATTTGACTAACGTGCTTTGACGCGGAAACAATGTTGTCAAATGCGCCTTCATCAATGCTTGCTTCGGTTTCTTTATGTCGCAGTCGCAAGCCAAATATTGTTCGCTCTTCTGACTTTGATGGCAACATTTCAGGATCAATCTACAAAAGAAAGAGAACTCTTCAGTGAAATGGCCCATAACACACAAAATTTTTAAAGTTTCGCGCATTAAACAACAGCAAGTAATGCTTCTACTAAATAAAGTGCTTTTTTGAGAGATGCGAAAAATAACGCATTTGTGAGGTTTATTGCATGTATTATGAATGCATTTTATCCGACTAGCGCAATCGCGCCAGATGATCTCAGCATGCAAGAAACGTAGTGAGCAAGCGACGGACAATATGCTTCGTTTAGTAGAGGGAGGGGGGAGGGGGCGTGATCATGGGCAGGTTCATGTTTGCTGATGTCTCTATGTGTAGTGCAATTTGAATTTAGTTTTTATGTGTTTTTGCATATATGCAAATGCGAAAACGATTGCGACGACCCCGGTGTGTGTGTACGTATGTGTATGTATGTATGTGTGTGTGCGTGCGTCTGTCTGGGTATTTCAACTCGGCACCCAATCAAGCTCCGGCGCCAAAATTTTGCGAGGGGGCTCCCCGGCCAAGTGCTACCCCAGGACCGCGGTACCAATCGTCACGCACGTCTAGGCCCCGCGTACGAGAGGGTGGAAGTTTTGACGGGAAAATCGCCAACCAGAAAAGTCAGACAGCTGAAACTTGGGAACCAGGAAGGCTCGGAGGCTGAAATTTTCCCAACAATGTACAACATAAATTTAACTCCTTCCCCAGGCACGTGTGATTATCTCGTACGGTCCCGTGAAATTTTTTGGCGGGAAAATAGCTAACTCGGGAGCCAGGAAAGCTAGGAAACTGAAATTTTCAGGGAATGTTCCTAGCACATGTACAAGCTAAAATTACCGAATTCAGCCCCTAGACATACGCCGTTATCACGTAAGGCCCGTCAAATTTTTTGGCGGAAAATGGCTAACTCGGGAACCAGGAAGTTGAGAGGCTGAAATTTTCAGGGTAAGTTCCCAGCCCCTGTGAAGTTTGAGATATCAGTTGCAGCTCCCAGATACGTGTGGTTCTCATGTACGGACCCATGAAATTTCATTGCAGGAGAATTCTTAACTCAAGAACCGGAGAAGTTGGAAAGCTGAAATTTTAGCGGGATGTTCTCTGTCCAGCTACCGCGTAGACAATTAACTTCCCGAACTTCGAGGAACAATGTGCCAGAAATTTTAGCTACTAGGTTTCCGGCGATCTCGTTACAGCGCGAAATGCTACTAAAACAGTGATCGCATGGGCTCACTTTATGCGCGTCGCCAATGATTTTTATGCGTTTTTTGCAGCTGTGCAATGCAGAAAGCGCGTAGTGACGAGAGGTTGTCTGTGTGTCTCTCTGTTTGTGTGTGTGTTTGTGTCTGTGTGTGTGCTTCGCTTCTGTACCGATCTTTCATCTCGGAACTCACAAAAGCTACAGGGCTGAAACTTGGGGAACTTATCTACATGCGTGTACAAGGCCCAGTCTCCGAAATGGGCGCTCTTACCCTCGAGGCACTCATGTACGGGCCTGCCAAAATTTTTTCCGGGTAGGTTGTTAACTCGGAAACCTGAAAAACTAGGAGGCTGAAGTTTTAATGGGATGTTTCCCGTCCAAGTAGGTGTCAATGAGTTCAATCCCGGCTCTCGGGTACGCATGGTACCCACGTACGGGCCCGCCAAAGTTCTTTTCGAGTAACTTTCTAACTCAGGAACCTGAGAAGCTAGAAGATTGGAATTTTAAGGAGATGTTCCCCATCTAAGAAAGTATTATTGAACTCAAGCCCAGTTTCTGGGTATGCAAGTGGTACTCATGTACGGGTCGGCCAAACCTTTTTTCGGGTCAGTTGCTGACTCGGGAGCTAGGAAAGCTAGAAAGCTAAAATTTCGAGGGAGTGTTTTCTGACAATTCTGGCGGCCAGTCTTAATTTGTTTAGCTAGAAGCATTTGCCGGGGAAGCCGGTGCCGGTAGTGAAAAAAACTGCGGGGAACTATGCAAAAAACATATCTTCGCACGGGCAGCTCGTGCGTTGGCCAATTATCTTTTTTGATAGAAGTCCAGGCACAACACCATACGAATGAACGGGAAGTAATGTTTCCGCTAAATACTGCGTTTTGTTGGAAGATAGAATTGATTGTCATAAGTTTAATTTCATGCGGAATGAACTCTGAGGTTTCGAACAACAACGACTCAAAATTTAGAGTTTGCGCATGAATAAAAACACAAAGCAACTGCAAAAATCCATGAAAAAGGTGAATGCATGTACCTTAAGAACAGTAAAATTCCCGTTGCGTTTTTTAGCAAGAATGTGCATTGCTGTCTCATCAAACGCTGGCGCTACGACACCTTCTGATATATCACGACTGATAACACGTGCCGTCAGTTCGTCACATTTGTCTGATAGTGCCACAAAGTCATCAAACGAGGCAATTTTATCAACACCTGCACATTACGAAACTGTATGCTTTTTTATACAAATTAAAACAGTTCCACTTTAATCGCTCATTTCAGCCAGAGCCATCATTATATTATTATCAATATGTCAAACAAAATGAACTGGCTGAAGCATTTGTTAATGTTCACCGGAGAATAATTTACCTACATTTACTGACCTGCATTACTTGATGCCAGTGATAACCTTTACCTGTGCAGTCTTGGAAAGGTGGGGGCAGATTATTCATAGAAAATTTCGGCAAAAGGCTAATTTTCAACAACTTCTAAATCTAGTACCGACGCGCACCAGGCTTGCCGATGCGAACAAAAATTTTTTGCACAGTTATCCTTGGTGATGCTTATCGCTAGATGACGTTTTTTTTTTTTCCTGTGGGCATTTCTAACTAAACGAATAGAAATATGCCTCAGATTAGAATCCGTTATTATTATGCGTTTTTGCTGTGCCATTGCCAGCAAAAACGCATATTGTCGAGCAGTCGTCTGTGTGTGTGTGCTTATGTGTGTTCGGAAGCGAGTGCATTTTGCCACCCACTTTCATCTCACCAACCAGGAGAGCTGGGAGGCTGAAATTCTGAGTATATGTTCCTAACCGGTGTGTCACCGGCCCGTTTTAAGATCTTGCTCTACATGCACCTAAACCCCGCATACGGACCCCCGAAAGAAATACGTAGATTTCTTTGGCGGGAAACAATTTTGCAAACCAAAAGTACAAAGATGAAACTTTTCAAGGACACCTCTTCCCTCTGCGAGCTAAAGATTTCAAATTCAGCTTTCGCGCAAACTTGTGCAGCGCGTACGATCACTTCAAAGTTTGCTGTGCTAACTTGGCACTGCGCTAACACGAAAACTTGCCGGAAAACCGTGGCTGAAATCCTGTCAGCATCTTTTTTGCCCAAATGCGAAATCGTATGCCTAAATTGAGTACTGATTTGCGCTTGCGCCACGATTTAGGGCACTTCAAAAATATTTGTAGCGCAGTGGATAGGCTGAAAATTCGCTGGCATACCTACTTTCAAGTGCGGCTTTAGTTCTGCTTGGGGGAGAGGGGGGGAGGGGGAGAGAATACCTTTGGGTGGGCATGAGAAATACTCAACTTTATCGAAAAATCAGAAACGAGTGCGTTTTGCAGCGAACGACCGCGCTCATCCAAATAAGTAAATGAACATTCAGTTCATTTGCATACTTGGATTTTTGTGCGTTTTTGCCTATATGCAAATCGCAAAAACGCATATTGGCACGACCCTGTGTGTGTGTGTATGTGTGTGTGTGTGTGTGTGTGTGTGTGTGTGTGTGTGTGTGTGTGTGT